GGGGGGGGGTAAAAACGCCTTATTATACATGGTTGTTTTTTTTTAGTTGAAAATGCCTAACTATACATGGTCTTTTTTTTTTTTGGTTAAAAACTCTTTACATGGTCATCAGAAAAGCCTGATTATATATGTAAACTCTGCAGACGATGGTCAAGACCTGGATCTTCCCACTGTGAAGCTACCGGCCGAACCAGTGGACCATGGGGGCGCTGCTATACCCATCTCATAAGAAACAACCCAAAAAGGTCTTTACATACCTGGTTGCTCAAAAAAAAAAAGCTCAATATGCAAACTCTGCAGATGATGGCCGACACCTGGATTTGAACCCTGCACTTCTGCGCTGGAAAGCAGACACAGTAACCAGTTGACCAGAGTGGCGCTGCTTTTTTGAGCTCGTAAGTAACAACCCAAAAAGGTCTTCATATACATGTCATGCAAAAAAGCTTGACATGCAAGCTTCGCAGAGGAAGTGCGAGACCTGGACTGGGCTAAAAACACCTATTACCGATACATGGTCGTTTTTTTTCTGGCTAAAAATGCTTTACGATACATTGCCTTTTTTTTTTTTTTTTTGGGGGAAAAACACCTTACTATACATGGTCGTTTTTTTCGGCGAAAAACGCCTTACTATACATGGTCGTTTTTTTCGGCGAAAAACGCCTTACTATACATGGTCGTTTTTTTCGGCGAAAAACGCCTTACTATACATGGTCGTTTTTTTCGGCGAAAAACGCCTTACTATACATGGTCGTTTTTTTCGGCGAAAAACGCCTTACTATACATGGTCGTTTTTTTCGGCGAAAAACGCCTTACTATACATGGTCGTTTTTTTCGGCGAAAAACGCCTTACTATACATGGTCGTTTTTTTCGGCGAAAAACGCCTTACTATACATGGTCATTTTTTTTGGCTAAGCATTTCGGCTAATAACGCCTTACGATATATACATGGTCGTTTTTTTCTGCTAAAAACGCCTTACTATACATGGTCGTTTTTCTCGGCTAAAAACGCCTGACTATACATGGTCGTTTTTTTCGGGTTAAAACGCCTTACTATACATGGTCGTTTTTCTCGGCTAAAAACGCCTGACTATACATGGTCGTTTTTTTCGGGTTAAAACGCCTTACTATACATGGTCGTTTTTCTCGGCTAAAAACGCCTGACTATACATGGTCGTTTTTTTCGGGTTAAAACGCCTTACTATACATGGTCGTTTTTCTCGGCTAAAAACGCCTGACTATACATGGTCGTTTTTTTCGGGTTAAAACGCCTTACTATACATGGTCGTTTTTCTCGGCTAAAAACGCCTGACTATACATGGTCGTTTTTTTCGGGTTAAAACGCCTTACTATACATGGTCGTTTTTCTCGGCTAAAAACGCCTGACTATACATGGTCGTTTTTTTCGGGTTAAAACGCCTTACTATACATGGTCGTTTTTCTCGGCTAAAAACGCCTGACTATACATGGTCGTTTTTTTCGGGTTAAAACGCCTTACTATACATGGTCGTTTTTCTCGGCTAAAAACGCCTGACTATACATGGTCGTTTTTTTCGGGTTAAAACGCCTTACTATACATGGTCGTTTTTCTCGGCTAAAAACGCCTGACTATACATGGTCGTTTTTTTCGGGTTAAAACGCCTTACTATACATGGTCGTTTTTCTCGGCTAAAAACGCCTGACTATACATGGTCGTTTTTTTCGGGTTAAAACGCCTTACTATACATGGTCGTTTTTCTCGGCTAAAAACGCCTGACTATACATGGTCGTTTTTTTCGGGTTAAAACGCCTTACTATACATGGTCGTTTTTCTCGGCTAAAAACGCCTGACTATACATGGTCGTTTTTTTCGGGTTAAAACGCCTTACTATACATGGTCGTTTTTCTCGGCTAAAAACGCCTGACTATACATGGTCGTTTTTTTCGGGTTAAAACGCCTTACTATACATGGTCGTTTTTCTCGGCTAAAAACGCCTGACTATACATGGTCGTTTTTTTCGGGTTAAAACGCCTTACTATACATGGTCGTTTTTCTCGGCTAAAAACGCCTGACTATACATGGTCGTTTTTTTCGGGTTAAAACGCCTTACTATACATGGTCGTTTTTCTCGGCTAAAAACGCCTGACTATACATGGTCGTTTTTTTCGGGTTAAAACGCCTTACTATACATGGTCGTTTTTCTCGGCTAAAAACGCCTGACTATACATGGTCGTTTTTTTCGGGTTAAAACGCCTTACTATACATGGTCGTTTTTCTCGGCTAAAAACGCCTGACTATACATGGTCGTTTTTTTCGGGTTAAAACGCCTTACTATACATGGTCGTTTTTCTCGGCTAAAAACGCCTTACTATACATGGCAGTTTTTTTTGGCTAAAAACGCCTTAGTATACATGATCATTTTTCTCGGCTAAAAACGCCTTGCTATACATGGTCCTTTTTTTCGGGCTAAAAATGCCTTACTCTACATGGTCGTTGTTTTCGGCTAAAAACACCTTACCAAACATCGTTTTTTTCGGCTAAAAATTTTTGCTAAAAACGCCTTACTATACATGGTCGTTTTTTTTGGCTAAAAACGCCTTAGTATACATGGTCATTTTTCTCGGCTAAAAACGCCTTACTCTACATGGTCGTTTTTTTCGGCTAAAAACACCTTACCAAACATCGTTTTTTTCGGCTAAAAACGCATTACTATACATGGTTGTTTTTTTCAGCTAAAAATTTTTGCTAAAAACGCCTTACTAAACATGGTAGTTTTTCTCGGCTAAAGACGCCTGGCTATGCATGGTCGTTTTTTTCGGCTAAAAACGCCTTACTATACATGGTCGTTTTTTTTACGGCTGAAAACGCCTTACTATAAGTGGTCGTTTTTTTCAGCTAAAAATTTCTGCTAAAAATTCTACATGGTCATTTTTTTCGGCTAAAAATTTCTTTTAAAAACGCCTTACTATACATGGTCGTTTTTTTCGGCTAAAAACGCCTTGTTCTACATGGTCATTTTTTTCGGCTAAAAATTTCTTTTAAAAACGCCTTACTATACATGGTCGTTTTTTTCGGCTAAAAACGCCTTGTTCTACATGGTCATTTTTTTCGGCTAAAAATTTCTTTTAAAAACGCCTTACTATACATGGTCGTTTTTTTCGGCTAAAAACGCCTTGTTCTACATGGTCATTTTTTTCGGCTAAAAATTTCTTTTAAAAACGCCTTACTATACATGGTCGTTTTTTTCGGCTAAAAACGCCTTATTCTACACGGTCATTTTTTTCGGCTAAAAATTTCTGCTAAAAACGCCTTACTATACATGGTCACTTTTTTAAGGCTAAAAATTTCGGCAAAAAACACCTTTCTATACATGGTCGTTTTTTTCGGCTAAAAATTTCGGCTAAAAACGCCTTACTATACATGGTTGTTTTTCTTGGCTAAAAACACCTTACTATACATGGTCGTTTTTTTCGATTAAAAAAATCGCCTTACTATACATGGTCATTTTTTTTTTTTTTGGCTAAAAAGGCCTTACTATACATGGTCTTTGATTTGGCTAAAAACACCTTACTTTCGGCTAAAAACGCCTTACTATACATGGTCGTTGTTTTTGGCTAAAAACGCCTTACTATACATGGTCGTTTTTTTCGGCTCAAAATTTTGGCTAAAAACGCCTTACTATACGTGGTCATTTTTTTCAGCGAAAAACGCCTGACTATACATGCTTGTTTTTCTTGGCTAAAAACGCCTTCCTATACATGGTCGTTTTTTTTTCAGCTAAAAACGCCTTACTCTACGTGGTCATTTTTTTCATCTAAAAACACCCTACTATACATGGTTGTTTTTTTCGGCTAAAAACGCCTTACTATACATGGTCGTTTTTTCCGGCTCAAAACGCCTTACTATACATTGTCGTTTTTTTTAGTTAAAAATGCCTCACTATACATGGTCTTTTTTTTGGTTAAAAACTCTTTACGATACATGGTCATCAGAAAAGCCTTATTATATATGCAAACTCTGCAGACGATGATAAAGACCTGGTTTTGAACCGTGGATCTTCCGACTGTTCAGCTGACGCCCGAACCAGTGGACCACGGGGGGGGGCTGCTTTACCCATCTCATAAGAAACAACCCAAAAAAGTCTTTACATACCTGGTCGCTCAAAAAAAAAAAGCTCGATATGCAAACTCCGCAGATGATGGCCGACACCTGGATTTGAACCCTGCACTTCTGCGCTGGAAAGCAGACACAGTAACCAGTTGACCAGAGTGGTGCTGCTTTTTTGAGCTCGTAAGTAACAACCCAAAATGGTCTTAATATACAGGTCATGCAAAAAAGCTTGACAAGCAAGCTTCACAGAGGAAGGACTGGGCTAAAAACACCTGACTATACATGGTCGTTTTTTGGGGCGAAAAACGCCTGACTATACATGGTGGGTTTTTTTTCTGGCTAAAATTGCCTCACTATACATTGTCTTTTTTTTTTTTTTCTGGTAAAAAACACCTTACAATACATGGTCGTTTTTTCCGGCTAAAAACGCCTTACCATACATGGTCGTTTTTTTCAGCTAAAAATTTCTGCTAAAAAAGCCTTACTCGACATGGTCGTTACATTGGGCGAAAAACGCCTTTCTATACATGGTCATTTTTTTCGGCTAAACATTTCGGCGAATAACCCCTTACGATATATACATGGTCGTTTTTTTCTGCTAAAAACGCCTTACTATCCATGGTCGTTTTTCTTGGCTTAAAACACCTTACTACATGGTCGTCTTTTTCAGCTAAAAACCCTGCACTTCTGCGCTGTAAAGCGGACACAGTAACCAGTTGACCAGAATGGCACTGCTTTTTTGAACTCGAAAGTAACAAACCAAAAAGGTCTTCATATACATGTCATGCAAAAAAGCTTGACATGCAAGCTTCGCAGAGAAAGGGCGAGAACCTGGACTGGGCTAAAAACGGCTTACTATACATGGTGGGTTTTTTTCCGGCTAAAAATGCCTGACTATACATTGTTTTTTAAATTTTTTTTTTTTTTTGTGTGTGTGAAAAACACCTTACAATACATGGTCGTTTTTTTGGCCTAAAAATGCCTTACTACACATAGTGTTTTTTTTGGGGCAAAAAATGCCTTACATGGTCGTTTTTTTCGGCTAAAGACGCTGTATTATACATGGTCGTTTTTTTCAGCTAAAAACGCCTTACTATACATGGTCATTTTTCTCGGCTAAAAACGTCTTACTATACATGGTCGTTTTTTTCAGCTAAAAACGCCTTACTATACATGGTCATTTTTCTCGGCTAAAAACGTCTTACTATACATGGTCGTTTTTTTCAGCTAAAAACGCCTTACTATACATGGTCATTTTTCTTGGCTAAAAACGCCTTACTATACATGGTCGTAATTTTCAATGAAAAAAAAACGCCTTACTATACGTGGTCGTTTTTCTCGTCTAAAAACGCCTTACCATACATGTTCGTTTTTTTCGGCTAAAAAAATCGCCTTACTATACATGGTC